TAATATAATTTTCAAAAAGACAAATCCTTTTTTTAAAAAAATTTATTTAAAATGTTGCGTGTGCGCACTATAAGTTACGGTTATCTATTGTGGAATGCCATAGGCGTTAGTAAGCAAAGGACAGGGAAACTTTTCCTCCCTGACAAATTTGATAGTTTTCTTTTCTTATTCCCCTTCCCTTAACTTTCTCTGCCCTACCTCCACAACAATTTTAATACAAAATGTCATCATAAACAAAATTTTATAATTTTTTTTAAAATAATTAGTGAAAGTTAATATATTTTTTTCAAAAAAATGTAATTAAACAAAACCTTTAAATGGTGACCCTAAAACCCTCGGTTAATGATGCTTACTACCTTAAGGTATTACCCAGAGTTGTTAAGGAGCGGCGCTCTCAAAAACACCTGGAGCGTCCCTCCTTTTTAAAGTGAGGAGCAAGAGCGGGAGCTAGATCCTTTTAGGGCTGGAGTGGAGGAGCGCCGCTCCACGGCTCCTTTAAATTTAGTGTATAAATTAAATAATTTTTTAACTATCTGTAAATTTATCCATTATTAAATGTTTAGCCGAGTTTTATATTGGTTTTTAATCTAATCATTTTAAATATTAAACATCAAGTTTTTCCTTTTTATATTGAAAATTTTTTGGAAAATCTTGTAAGTCATATTAATATTCATTTTATGGATATGTTAGATATTATGGATTTAGAGATCATAGATGAAGAAATCGATATTCAATTTCCATCATACAAAAAATATTTTAAACTTCTAAAAGATGTTGATCCAAATGATCAAACAAATTTAAGGGCAAAATGCCTTTTGTGTTTAAATCAGGGTTGTGCATTTGACCGGTCAAATACAATTCGGTCAATTGACCGATATTTGACCGGTCAAATATGGTCAAATATTGTCAAATTTAAATAAATGTTTTTTACACCAATATTAACTTTATTTTGCATTTATATAATATTATAATAAATCTATGTATAATAATAAATATCATAATATTTTTTAATTCATTCTATAGTCAATGTTTCACCCTCCGTGGCAGAGTCTTGTTCCGATTCATATTCAATATCATTATTTTCTTTAATATTTTTAATCAATCTTAAATTATGATACACTCTTACTAATTTTCCTGCTGTAGAAGCCTTTAATCTATTTCTGTTTTTCGTGTGAATATTGCCCCAAACCGACCAATTTCTTTCAGAAGAAGAAGTCGAACTAGGAAATGTTAGTAAAATATTAGCGACTTCTCTTAATGGGCAAGGTGGGCAAAATGCATTCCACCAACTTGAGGCCGAAATTTGATTGTTTCTTATGGAAGTTACAACTTTCCACATATTATGGCTATTAAATATACCGCTTTTGCTTCTGAAATTTACTATATTACTCAAAACATTTTGATTATCACCACCTTGTAAAATACCCAATTCTTGTATTATATTACATGCTTCATCAAATTCAGTATTAGTAAGATGCTCCCCTTGATATTGGGGGTCCAATAAATAAGCAGCATTGTGAGCACATGTATTTAGATCAGTTTTTCTCTTTTCAAACATAACCTTAATTTTTTTTTCTTGAGATGGAGAAAATACAGAATCATGGCATGATTGTATTATGTATGTGTTTTTCCAAATTAAGCATCTCGTTTTTTACTTGGGCCAAAGTACATTTATCCCCTTGCACTTTCAACAATGAGGTAGCTAAAGGTTGGAGTATAGCTAAAAATTTTAAATTTTTCGTCCAAAATTCTTCGTTTAATATATTATTGGTAATTTCTATGGGACAAATATCACAAACAGCTTCTTCAACAACTGATGCTTTTAGAGCTTTCTTGCATATTTGAATTTGCTCCATACATTTTATTGACGATGCCCATCTTGTTTGGCTAATTGTACTTAATGTAGATGGTATGCCATGAAGATTCTTATTACGGGAAAATACTGCATCTGGTATGTGTTTATTCTTGAAAAATTTAACAATTTTTTTAATTATTGAAATATGGTCACTGAAGGCGTTCAATCGTTCAAAATCGTGAAAGAATAACTGCAATGTATGCGCTGCACAACCATAACATTGTATATGATATAAATAGATTCAGATTTTAGAATTCTCCAGGCTGCTTTCATGTTAGCGGCATTATCAGTAACTAAAGAATATACTTTTACCGGATTCAATTCATGAATTACATTTTTAAATTCCTGGGCAATATAATCTGCCGTATGGCGATTTTCCTCAGTATTTAGAAATTTGTAGAACACTGGAACAGGCGTCATCACCATAAAATTAATAATACTCTCGTTTCTAATGTTGCTTCAGCCATCTGATACAATTGATAAGTAAGGAGCTTTATCTATTATATCTGCAACTCTCACCTCCATATCACCTGACGCTTTGTCTAGAAGATATCCAGCCAGCTGCCTTCTCCTGGGTAATGTGTAAATAGGACGTATTTTTTTAAAAAATTCTTGGATGTAGGGATTTTCAGTGATGTGGAAAGGTAAATTGCTCGCATATACAGCCCTTGCAAACAATTGATCCAGCTCATTTTTTTTCTTTGGGATTAATTCTATCTATGAAACCGGTTATACAAGATTGAGATTTATATTTAATCGCCTTGCTTGTAGATTGATTAGAAATAATGGAATTAAATTTTCCTGAGTCACAAGACAAAATATTGTTCATTTGATAATCATTCTCACTAATTTCACCCAATTCTTCATTAGAGTTAGACTTAGAAGTATTACAAATTACATTTGTGATATTTTTTGTAGAGGTTGATATTTTGGAATTTGAATAAAATTTTTCCTTAATTATAACAGGGCACATAGTACAGCTGCTTAATAAATGTTTGACCATTCTATAAACGTGGGTGATATAGGACATCTTGCAAAACTTGCACACCGCTTTAACTGATTTACCATCGCGTACTTCTTGAAAATGTTTCCAAACATGATGCTTTGGTTTGACCATAATCCCTAATATATTAAAATTTAACAAAAAATGATTTTGATTATTGTAAAGTTAATCAATCTTATCTATTTTATAATTATCGACCAATTATTCCAATAATTTCTTAATATTATAAATATAATATAAATATATAACTTTTTACCAGAATTGAATAATATTCCGTAAATCTGACCAGAACAATTAAAATGAAAATTAATTTTAAAAACCAAATATAGCAAGTGTAAGTAAAACAAATGAGAATTAATATAATTTATACTCGGCTAAATATTAAATAAAATTTAAATTTATTAAAAAATAAGAATGAAAAAATTATATTATGATTATAATAAATCGGGTATTTTTATTTTTTTTAAGAAAAATGAATTGAAAAAAATAAAGAAGGCGAGAAACGGCAATGATTAGGCAAAAAAATAACTAAAAATATTACTATATTTAGAAAAATTACATATTTATATTTTAACAATAAAAAAATTCTTTTGTTTTTAACAATTCATGATACAAATAATTTTTTAAATAATTGTAACCTAATAAGATTGATAAACATGCTTTTAATGCATACTAGTTAATTATATCAAAATATTTATTCGCCATTAATATTTTAGAGTATTTGACCGTATATTTGACCGGTCAATTGACCGACATGCCAACCCTGGTTTAAATAAACTATTTAATTTACAAAAGTGAGCAGCTTCAATAAAAAAAGGATCTAAAAGTAAAATATCTTTCTTTTAAATACAAAATGATTTGGAAGTTTTTTTTGGATTTTATGAAATTGATCATCAGGAAGATAATATATAGGACAAATATTTTTTAAATACCAAAATTACTATTTTTGGTAAATTCCCTGAATTATTAAATATCTTTATAAAATACAAAACCCCGCTTCCCTCTAGTGCTCATGTGGAGCGCCTACTTATTATTGCAAAAGAGGTCTTAGGGGAGAGGCGTGGATGTTAGATTCTAATTTAGAAAATTTATTACCTTTAAAGGTTATAAATATTTTAATAGATTATTTAATATAAATAAAGCTTTTTGATAAAAAAAATTGTTTCGTATTTCTTCTAAAAAAATGAAAATCAAAGGAGCGGTTATGGATTGGCACTCCATTACTTAGAGCTGGAGCTAGCTCCTTTTAAAAATGTAGTAGCGGAAGCGGGAGTTAGCTCCTTTTGAGAAGGTAGGAGCGGGAACTAGTTACTTTTAAAAAGGAGCGTTAACAACTCTGGTATTACCTATCAAATTTGTATTTTGTTTATTTTTCATTTGGATAGGCACTACCAAATATATATTATAATATATATTTGAAAAATGGTGATTTTTGAAAAGCGTCTGTGGCCTAGTCGGCAAGATCGTTGCCTACCATCCGATGGTTATGGGTTCGAATCCCAGCAATGATCCAATTTTTTTTTCTTGATCTAACTTGGTGGTTCCGTCCTTGGGGGATGATATATAGGAGGCCGGACTCGACCACGTGATTTTACTATAATATATGTTAAATAGGGTCTTATTACATTTTAATAAATTTTGGTATTTGGTGGTATGTATCAAATAAAAATTGTAAAATCAAGATTCACTCGGTATTGCCTTTGGTAGTAAGCATCATTAACCAAAACCACCCAATAAGATTTGTTGTAGAAATAGGCCACTTAAAAGTTATTTTAACACTTATTTCAAACCAATTGGTAACCATCATCCTAGCTCTCGTCATTTAGAAATGCCGAATTAGTTATTTTTTGCGCATGCTCAGCTACATTCTTACCTAAATAAAGAAATATGTTAAGCGCCTTCTAATTAAATTTAGTCAGTCCCACTATTATTAACAGAAGTTTCATTGAGAGGTGCAGGGGCTCGAAATTTTGAATTTTTCTTTATATCAAATGTAATTTTGATAATATTAGTAATTTTGGATAATGTTAGCTAAAAAAAAAGACAAAGTAATTTTGAAAATAATATTAAAAAAATAATGACGCCGCTGATTATAAACAGAGTAAGGTTCTTCAGTTTAAACTGATTATAGAGATTTGAAAATTAGATAAATAAAAATTTTATAAATTTAAATAAATTTTTCTTAAAATATATTCGTTGATCATTTTAAAAATATAAATATCATTTACAATTCGGATAAATAATAATATATTTGTAAATTAATAAAGATTTTAATAAAAAAATTAAAAAAATATAAAAATACATTTTCGAATAAAAAGATTTAAATCTATTTGGAAGGCTTGCAAGAACATGTGCGACAACCATATTCATCCAATACTTGTCCATGAGCACATTTGATAAACTTAAAGCAAGGCAAATCTGGGCACACTAAAGTATGAAACAAGAGGGATTTTAATAAGATTTTACTCAGCAGCAATTATAGGAATAGGTAAAAAAAATTATAGAGGAAAAAAATAAAATTGTAAGTTGAAGATTTTAAATGACTCAAATAAATTAGAAGTCATAATTAAGATTTTAATTGACCTCTCTGGGTTGTGGTTGTTTCGGGATGGACGCATTCACATAACTGGCATCCATCGATATCCTGCTTCAAGCCATTAATACATCGGATGTTGCAAGGGATGTTAGGGCATTCTATTGAAAAAAATACAGTTATACCATTTATAGAAAAATCTCATCCCTCTAGAAATCAAGTAACGGTAGCTCTTAAAAAACCGATAACTCGAACCCGAATCGATCGGGTTTTCGATCGGGTTTAATTCTAAGAGGAAAATTTATTTATTTTAAAATATAGCGTGAATTTTTTTTCCTTCCGTTGCCATTTAACAAAGGTTTAAACCGGAAATGGAACCATATCCTGCAGCCCTCAGAGTTTTTTTTTTTAAATTTCTAACACGAAAGAAAATATCCAGAGTCGAAACTCTATTGGTCCAGATTATTCTGAATCTATTTGACACGTGATTTCCTGTTTTTTATTTAACGATTGCCATTTAAATTATACGATTCAAAGTTAGTTTATTTATATTTCATTCTTTTATTTTCTAATTAAATTCCATTAAAATAAAAAATAAAAACAACCTTTTGGGACACATTTGCATACGCAACCGTCATTTTTTAATACAAAACCCTTCCTGCAAAGCAAAGTGCAAGGCTTTATAATTGGACATTCTGTAAATTGACAACAATTTAAATGTTAATGAAATCTAAAAATTATATATATATATTTCTCATATTTGTTAATATTAAAAATACCAAATTTCTCATAAAATTCTTAGGATTTGAATCTAATATTAATTTTAAAAAAATCTGCTAATAATTATAATTTTACAAACTCGTCAAATAGATAACTTAATTATTTCAAATCAAAATTTTTTTTTATATTATGCATTAATTTTTACTATTCAAACAATTATTTATTTTAAAAATAACCTTTTGTCGGGGGAATGCACTGACACAATTGACAACCTTTGCTATTATAGATGAGACCATTTCGACATCTAATATTGCAAGGCTTTTTGGAGGGGCATTCTACGAATTGATATAATTTTGTTTAAAAAAAAAGAAGAGTAAACCTCCCATTCATAGTTTGCGCCAATCTGCGAACTTTATATAATACGCAGTATTTCGTATTTTCCGCCCGCGAATAGGTGTTAACTGTTTTGTTAAAGTTGTGTCTAAAATTTGAAATCAGGGAAAATTCCCCGGAAAAAAATCTCAATTTTAATTTTGTCTAAGGGAAAGGGTTATTTTTAAGAATTTTTTATTTATCTTCCCGCGATTCGAATTAGATCTTTTTTTTTGCCGGGGAAAATTTCTTTCGCTAACCAAATTTCAAAATACATAACTTTTGAAAAATTTTTCTAAATTTTAAAATTTTAATGAAATTCCAAATAATTTTTAAAATATTCTGGAAATACAATTTTGGACAAACTTTCATAAATTAAACCAAAAATTTAAGCATTCGATTAGAATCTTTCTAAATTAAAAATGATCCCTAGAAAGAAACTCATTTCTTTGAAGTAGTAATGAGATAAATAACCAGCTGATAAGGGAATCTTGAAATTTCATTTTTTAAAAAAATAATACTTTCACGCTTAGGAATGCATTGACAATGTTGACATCCCTTGCTATCGTATATCAAGCCATAAGCACATCTAATGTTGCAAGGTTTTTTAAGACAGTCTAAAAATTATAAAATCCAATATTTTAGAAAATATAAGTTTAAAAAATATATATATTTTTCCCATTAAGATATATATTTTAATTACAATTTATGGGCAACTTTAAGGTAACTTTCAATGAATTTTACAACTATAAATAAATTAATTGTTAAATTTACCGATGATTACCATGTAAATAAATTTAAAATATGCTGAATTAATATTAAAAAATTTTAAAATCATATAACCTTAAACTTCTTTAAAAAAAAATTTTTTTTATTAAAATTTTAAAATAAAGGTCATAAAAATATGGTTCATAATATATATATATTTTTTAAAAAATACAATTAAATTAGATAATAAAAATGCATTGCTATATAGAACCATAAAAAACAAAAATCAATTGCTAACCATCGTAATGTTTGCTTTAAATAAAAAAATCAATGCATGTGTAATCCCAAGCAACGAAGGCCAAGGTATTAGGCTGATACCATCGGGTCTTCTGTTGCTTGAGAATAAAGGGATTCTGGCCTTATTAAGAGTTTATTAATTTTATAAACTATAAGTGTTTTCGGATTTCATTTAATAAATTGTTCAAATAATCATACTTTTGTAATCAGGGTTGAGAGAATTATACCCAACGACATAGAAGAGAATTAAAATAGTTGATAGTAGATATCTATTCATGCTTTATAATATATAATTTTTGAAAAAATTAGTTTATATTTTGAAAAAAAAACTTTTAAAAAAATATAAAATTAAAAATAAATTGCGATTTGAGAATAGAAATATAAAAACAAATTTTTTGATTTATATATATTAGTTTGTCAACAAATAAAAGGTTTTTTTAAAGATATTTAAATTTGATTAAATATCTGGTTTGACCTGATAATATAAATACCTTTTTTTTTTAAAAAATAGCCGGATGAATTGATGTATATTGTACATCCTTAACCTTGTTATACAAAAAAATATATATATTTTTTTAGATAAAACTTATTTAAACCTGACATGATTACACCAGTCTAAACAGGAAATAATCATAGATATAAGTGGTAAAAAGTAAGTATTTTTACGTTTTTTTTTATTAAAAATCAAAAATTGATTAACTTTGCCAAACATTTTGTAAAGCGATTTTTTTTCTTTAAATCTAAGAATTTCAATATTCATATTGTTAAACAGCTGATTTCTTCAAAATGAATCTATGCAAATTTATCGCTAAGTATAGGTTAATATGGCTCGGCTCGAAGTTTGGCCTCGAGACCGGATAACGCCCGCCAAATATTTTTACAAGCCGGTTTAAATTTTCGGGTTCAGGGTGAGGTTTAAAAGATTCGGTTAAAAATTAATAAGAACGGGTTAGAGGTTGAGCCTCCACTTTTTATTTGTAATTTACCAAAAAAATCATTAAAATTCGATGATTATTTTGTTTGTGTCAGAACCTTGACTGGCAATGTATCTAAATTAGTGAATATTTGTTCAAATCATAAATAAATTTGCCATATCAAAGTAATAAGTAAGTCTGGGATATAATTCACAAGATGAAAAACTAATTTGAGAACCCTTCTGCTTGTGATATCTTTCCTAAAAGTAACTATTAAGATATTTTTTTTGTCCATTAATAAAAATTATATACTGTGGCTGTAGCTAGAAAAATTTTCCTTGAGGAGACCAAATTATAAAAGCCTGAATGATTTTGTTCCCAAACCCCTTTAGCAGATTTTGAGATTTTTTGCTTGGTATTTCAGGTTGTTTATCTTAGAAATCATATATTGTTCTACTTTTCCAATATTTCAAAGGATTAGCAATATCATCTTGATAATTTTTATTCCTGATATAAGATTTGTAATTATTATACCTTTTTTTTTTGACTGGGATGGGTAAATAAAAAGCCAAAATCCAGGGTAATCCATGATGGTACAGTCCCGTTAAGTTGACGTTTAACAAGGGCTTATTTTTCACTTTCCAACACATATAAATTCATTCATTTACAATATTAAATATTTGAGCCCCAGAGTCAAGTCGTAATTCTTGTTGATTATAGGGCGGATCGTCATTATTGTGTCGGGTTGGTGTTAGGAGTTAATAGAACTATCTAAGTTATTATCTTTCATAGCTTTAATTTATGGGCAGTGAAGTGTTCGAGCCCATGAGATATGTTGCTAGTGGTATATCGAAACGAGCAGATTCATCACATGGATGGTCTCTTTTAAAGATCTATCTATTTTTTTTCAGAAATCCTTGCCATTTTGGGATTATTGTCTTCCTTTAATTTAAATTCTTGCTTCGAATTGATACGTTTCGCCTTTAATTGTTGTACCAATTTTGAATTTGGTTATTTTTTTTAAATTGAGCTACTGAATTCTGCTAATCCCTATCCCCAAGGTTACTCGTTTTGACAAGAGCCCCGGGATAGAGGAAGACTCGTCATTTATCTGATCAAATCAATGATGCATTCTCAAAATATTTTATCCGTGCTATAGATTTGATAGTCATTATCCTCAGCAGGTAAATCTATCTCTTAGCCAAATGTCGATTAGTGGCTTTCTCAAAATATATACATCCAGTTAAAGTTTTAATCTGCTGGCTAAAATGGAGGACAGACTCCTGCTTTTGGCTGCTGGCTTTCTCAAAATATAGACATCCAGTTAAAGTTTTAATCTGCTGGCTAAAATGGAGGATAGACTCCTGCTTTCGGCTACATCTAGAAAAATTGAATAAAATTAAAGGTGGCATTTTTCTTTTTAAATTAGCTCATTAACGTTTTATTTGCCGTTAATGATATCCCACGAAGCTGCCATTAGTTTCATGAGAATGCTAATTTTTTATATATCTCAGCCACATTTTGAAACCCCTCGTAAGACAGCAATATTTTACGTATCTCGTTGTTGTTTGCAATCCCCTTCTAGTCAATTAATATAGCAAAGTTCTACAAATAATCTTCAATATGAATTTTGTCTTCATACAAATACCACAAATGGAAAAAATATTTGCTATCCCTTATTCTATTAGCCAGTATGTTATCTTGAAATTCATATTTATTTTAATTCACGTGCTATATATTTATTCCAGGCAGTAATGTATATTGAATGCTATATATATATATAGTAATTCTATTAATAATATTTATAATGACATAGAATTTCATAACTTCCTTTTTTACACTTTTTTTTGTTATATTAAAACTTTAATAAAAATTTTGTAATTATTTGTATTAATTTTTATATTCCTGTTTATTTATTTATCCATTAAAAAAGTTATATATTATTAATAAATTGATAATTTTGTTCTTTGAAAATATTCATTTTTGAATTATTTGTTATTCATAAAATTAAGACTAAAAATGAATATTATTCTTTATTCAATAATAATGAATATTCTCGGTTTTATTACGATTAATATCGGATACGGTAATATATCCATTATATAGCCAATTATTTGCTTTTTAACTGTTCGACTTTTTCCCAAATCTAACATAAAGTTACAGATATCGCATTTTTTAATTGTATTTTCTTAAATACCCACCAACTAAGAAGCTGATTAACCAGCCCAATAGCCCCCGTTCTGAATTAAAACGCCACCTATCTCAATAATTCGAAGATGTTTGGTTTGTTATTCACACAGGCAATTCGTCTAATCCCCTGCCCCAGATAGTTATGCCGCTAGAGAAGAATTATCCGGTCACCAGCAAAGAAAGTCGCCAAACTCCATCACTGTCAGAGCTTTGAAAAAGCTCTTCTGAAATTTGATCGCATTTGAGGCCCTCATTGAACAGGATGTATTTTAACCTTATCCAGTCTAATTGACAGACAATGAGCTCCCATGACGTCTCTTATGCAGCTCAATATTTTGATGGGGAATAAATGTAATTGGTTGGAAGTATACTGCTATAAGTGATTAGCAATTTTTGCTAGTTTTTATATTCAAGATAATGTTAAACGGCTCTTTTCAGGGACAAATATGTGTCAAAGATACTCAGGATAGATACATTACTAACAACCCTTTCAGGGCTAACCATTAATTAACGACTCGGTTGGTCGGTTCAAATAGGAATATTATATCAGTTCAGGGACTAAGTGCCCGGTTTTCCCTCTTGATCCGGATTCTGCAACATCTCAATCCAGTGACGAGAACTTATATAGGTGACAAACTTGAACTATTTTTGTGTGAACAGGTCTTTCAAGTGCCAAATAGGACACCATATTGGCTAGCAACTCAACACTGTTAACTGATATCTGACCTCTAGAAGATACCCGATGAAAGCATACCCGTCAACACATTTGAGCTCGACACGACATTAATATTATAAAGAACGAATATATTTACTTACACATTCATTGTCGTTCGCCTTTTTGCAATTGTGTTTTTATATTTTTACTTTTACCTTTTTTTTATTATACCGTTGTATGTTCACCTTATTTGAAATTTACATTTGTCTTTAGCAAAAATTTTCCAAATAACCTTGGGTAGTAAAAGCCCTATAGGCCAAGGTACCCAATGGAAACCTTCATTTTCGTTGTAAACAAGAGAGGTAAATGGTTTTCATTCTTGCAAGAAAATAGATTTTGATTCTAAAAATTAAATTTAAATCAGGGGTTTTCGATTCCATTTTTTAAAACTGTTACATGTTTGTAACTATATATTTTAATATACTTCGTTTAAGGCCAGCGTTTTTTAGTAACGATATTTTATATTGTAATAATATATTATTATGTCGTAAATTGGATAACGTGATTTTATATGTTATACAATTTTACATCATTGATTTACGTTGCATATAAAAAGAGATTATATATTTTAAAATTTAATCAGTTAACTTTTTTATAATAAAGAATCGTCGTAAAATCTTATATTTAAATTAAATTCTTTATATTGATCTAAATCCCGACTAAATTCCTATCTATTCTGACGTACAAGACAAGCAATTTATAATAAAATCTTAAAGAGTCTCCTGAAAAAGTTTTATAAGGATAAAACAAGAGTTTGAAAAAAATTTACATCAATCTAAAATTTTGAAGATCATTAAATTTTTCAGTGTCCTTCATCTTAATTTTTTTTATGCATGAAAAATAAATAAGATTTGCTTGTAAAAGATTTTTTTTAAAGAGATTTTGCCATATTTTTTTGGTCAATTTGATCAAAAATCTTCCAAATAAATTTTGCTTTAAAATATTTTGAAGATTGATTTCATCTTAAAAGATTATTTTTTATGTACAAAAATTATAAAAGATTTGCCGATATTTTACCAATAAATAGAATTTTTAGTATATAAGACTTAATCAAAAATATGGATTTTATATTTATAAAATAAATCCTTTTAAAAAGGCTTCGAAGTTCAAAGATAATCCTAGCTTATTTTTATTTTGAAGATAAGATAATTGAAGACACGGAGTTTTTCCTTTAAGCAAATATTTTTTCTATATTTGCAGGGATTCCGATGACAACGTCAAACATCTTTAAATGTAATTTGACAAATATAAATAGAATATTTTTTTTAAAAGCAAACATTGATTATTAATTATATTTGCAATTATTACGTAAATGTATACATATGACATATATTATCACTTGCAGTTATTTGATAATTTGAGATAATAAAAATATTATTTAAGTGGTAATAAATAAAAAAATATTGATTTTCAAAATGTTTATGTCAAAGTATTTATTTTGTGCAAAAAGTTTTCAAAAAAATTCTTAAAAGTTCTAAACTTTCATATAATTTAAATGAAATAATATGATAATTTTTGAAATTTATAAAATTTTTCCAGAAT